GTTAACTTTGTATCAGTTTTATATTCTAAACGCACTCTGTCCATACAAAATTAATACACATTTACAAAGATTTACAGCATGGAATCGAGGATAAAGTTAATGGGAGCATGTCGCCATCTCACCTAGAAGAGCAGATCAAAGGCATTGATTCATGGTGCAGACAGGCGCAATACAAACAGGGGCATAATGTACACATGAGGTATCCTCTCGAGCCAGGGAAGCTGATCACTGAAGCACAAGGTAAATTTAAAGTAGCTTTAAATATTTTCTTTTATTGGTTCAATTATAGGGGAACTTCCTGGCATGTAAAAATCTCACCATCATCCTTTATCTTTTAGAAGTTTGGATCAGATTCATAAAACAAATAACAGTTAAAAAAAAAAAACAGCACCTTTGTTTGAACCTCATTCTCACAGTTCTTCTAGTCCAGGGCGCATGATAATGTCATTAGCAATGTTCTCACATCTCTCGGTACTATGAGGTGGGACAGAGCAGCAGCGGCTAACATTGCCAACTTATAACTTCCTTCCAAATGTCAAATCATTCATAAACAATCCTAATTCATACAAAAATTTCACAATATCAGACAGCGGCTGTTCCCTCCCCCCTCACAAGGTGTCCAATGAAGAAAAGGCCTGTGTGCCTCTCTTTCCATGCTTCTTCCCCCTTTCATTGTTTCTTTCTGACTCTCTCTCCAAGATGTTTTTATGCCCCAGTAGAGGGCCTGATTTAAGTGGATGGGCCCTTGACTGTTCCCGCCTCTTGTAGTCTGGGAGAAGTGTAGGCGGAGGCTGCCAAACATGCAGCTGCTTCACAAAATCCAGGAAGTCCAGGAGGACCAGCTTTTCCAGGGCGGCCTGGCTCACCCGCTGCACCATGTGGTCCTCGCTCGCCTGGCCTACCATCACGTGCCACACCGTCAAGACCTGGTGGACCTGTGAGAAAACAGGATGGGCTGCTGAGTAAACCAACTCGCCTTCGGACAATTCGGACTTTAATGGTGGACTTTGAACTTACCTGGCAGTCCAGGTGGTCCCGGTTGGC